ATTATTATTTTGATAAACAGCCAATTATTCTTTCAATGAATTTATTTTGCCCTGTGTGATTTTCAAATGCCTTTAAATGTGGCTTTACTTTTTCTTGTTGTACTGTCGGGCACTTTGTGTTGCTTTTTGTATGAAAATGAAGACAATTGGATCTTCTTGATTGGTTGACTAGATCCCAAAAGGTCATAAAATATAGAAGTCCAGATTTAGATAGTAAGTAAGTAAGTTTTTATTTATATACCACCTTTTCACTGCAGATCTGAGTCTCAAAGCGGTTTACAATTGTTATTTTTGGGCATTTGTCTCTCACTCCACACAGAGATGGGAGCGGGGTCGCCAGTAGAGGAGGCGCATGCCTGAACTATTGGACATATTTTTAGTGGTAGGGGAAACCGGAGTACCCGGAGGAAACCTACGCAGACACGGGGAGAACATGCAAACTCCACTCAGGAAGGCCCTGGTCCGACCGGGATTCGAACCCAGGACCTTCTTGCTGAGAGGCGAGAGTGCTATCCACTCAGCCACCGTGCCTGCCTAGATGTCGGTAAAAAAATAATTCTTTAACAGTGTCTAAAAACAACAGCTAACCATAATGTATCTGAATTTGTCACTGGCAAAAAGGGATTGTTTTTGACAATTTCTTGATAATTTCTCTCTTGACAATCAGAAATACATCACAACTGCACAGAACTAAACTTTTTGTCCCATTCGCAAATCTTGTTTTAAGTCAAAATGTCCTCGATAAGATAAAAAACCCTTTGATTCAAGCATTTATTATTATTTTTTTGCAGTGTAGCACACAGTCTATGGCTGTTATCTTTCTCAAATGCTAAATTTTTTGGTGCTCGTCTGACCTGCGGAGGAAGAGTCAATGCCACGGCACTTGGTTTTAACTGGAGAATTCTCCTCGGCTTGAGAGCCAACGTTGTTTTTACTAGAATTTTAAACCGTAACATTTTGTTTTTTTCCGTCTGTAATTTTAAGTGCAAATAGCTTGTTTGAGATTTATAGCTCTTGGGAAATCGCAAATCTATCATTGACTTCAAAGCTAGCAATCCTGTCTCCCAAATTGCATTAATAAGACGAACGACCCTAACATTTATTTGAACTTTTCCACTCCCAAAACAATGCTCCGTACCAGCTGTGCACGCTCATCCTAAAAATAATAACTTTTCATAGCCTTGAAAGCACCTTTATCCATCTGTCGTGTTTATGTAAAGTCAAAGTGGTGCAGCAGACCCCATGCAGCAGATAAGACCATTATTATGGACATTTTTGACATTCCGGTGCCAAGTCGTGGAGGTAAAGAAAAGTTTGACTCAAGTCCAAAAAGCAGCCAACCGAGAGATCTCCTCCTTCTCCGCATGCTAAAGGAAAAAGGCAGTTAAAGTGGGAATTTTTAGAATATTGTTCAAAGCGACAGGAGTAAACAAGCCGAAAGAATGAGTCGGAATTTGTGCCGGTGTGGAAGTGCTGCGCGGTGTTCTTCTGGTCTGTGGCATTTCCGGATGTTATTTCGAGAAAACTGACCCCGGAGAGCGGCTTTTATGGACTCGAGGAGAAGGAAAACAGATGTGGCACAATTGAAATGCCCATCTGGTGATTCAATTTAAAATCTGCATGTGGTTTCACTAATTCATTAATCAAGCCATCAATGGGGCCTCAAACCTGAAAGAATTGAAACTCGGAAAATACAACACTGTTCAAAAGTCAATTTACTTTTGGACTTGAACTTGCAATGGAGAACTAAAATATGAGATTTATTCCATGTGGAGTGACATAACATCACGCCTGTATTTGTTTCTGTGTTGATAATTGACTCACGACTTTTACTATTCATGTTGTCGGCCCCTGGACTAGTCTGGTGAACTCAAGGGTCCCTCTTTCTGAAAAGTTTGGGCATCCCTCACCGCAAAAAGCGATAAAATATGAGGTAGTATTTGCTTGAATTTAGTGTTTTTTCATGTTAATCTGAGTCTTAAAGGAGATTAGCCAATGGGACAAAGCCATTTAGTCTTCTTTCAAGAACATCAAGATCTTGTATCTTTTCAAACAAGATCATTTTACTTCGTCCCATTGGAATATCTTGTCAGAATGTGCTCAAATTAGGATACATTTTAGCAAATTTGAGCTTTTTTTTGCAGTGCTGCTGTAGACTTTAAAAAACACTATTCTCATACATTCCCCAAAACACTACATCAATTAACCCCTGCAGTTTCCTAATCACATGTTTACAATATATCCATAATTTATAATATAATATAATATACATATGATATACAATTATCTGCACCTGTGGACTGGTCTCCCCCAGCTCAGACTCATGGGCTGCACCACCTCCTCGCCTGGGAGCCGCCTCAGTCCTTGTTCTACAGCCTCAGTCCTGGACCTGCAGCCGGTCTGTCTGTGGGAGCGGATCTGTCTCTCAATGTGACGAAAAATGCTAAATATTGGCAAAATGTCTTGTTAATTTGAGCACATTCTGACTGTCTTAAAACAAGATTTGCCAATGGGACAAGCTAAAGGATCTTGTTTTAAAAAGATATGTCTCCCCTGGAATGATAAAGTAAAGCAACATTTCTTGGCATAAGACTAAATGGCTTTGTCCCATTCGCAAATCTTGTTTTAAGACAGTCAGAATGTACTTAAAGTAGGATAAAAACCGCTCAATTCAAGCAATTATTACCTCATATTTTATATGGGGCGACAGTAGCTCAGTTGGTAGAGCATTGGCCCTTGGGCAAGACACTTAACCCCACTTTGCCTGAAGCTCCCACTGAAAGATCTCAGCTCCTCTGGACTTACCACCTGCAGGAGGATCAGTGAGGGGCTGGTGCTCTGTGTACTGGGTGCAGCTCTGACTGCCACCCCCCCGACCCAGAAATGGATTAAGGGGAAAAAAAATGGATGGATGGATGGATTTTATCATTTTTTGCAGTGCAGCTACATGCCATGCTACTGCTATGCTATGGTATTGTAGAAACACACAAATACTTAAGAAATGCTGGAACAGGCACTTTTGGCACTCATTAAACCTGTCTTGAGTGATCTCCCTCTGGGTTTTTAATATTGTAATGTAAACACGTGCTGAAACTCCATGTTTTGAAACAACCCTGAACATTATGACCAGCGATAATGAGCGTTTTTATTATCTGCGACACATGGAGTTATGGAAACACTATTACACAACTCTCCAAACAAAGAAACCCGCAGATGCAATATGTTCTGGTGATAAAAAAGCGCTAAAACGAGTTGACAACACATCACAAGAAAGTCATTTTGTGCTAAAAAACTCAAAACTGAGATGTGTTTAATAAAGTTTAATTTTGAAACACGTCAGACAGGATAATCCATTGTGTTCATAAACATGGACCACAAGTGCAAAACAACAGGCTGAAATTCATTATCAGTACAAAACAGTTATAAAAATGAATAATTCCATATATTTAAAAACTTCAATTATTAACAGACTTTACTCTACGCCAACTATATACATAATTCAGAACAAATAGGAGAAACTCGTCCTCATCTCTCATATAACTATCAAGTCAGTATTTAAATTATGTTAGAAATAGTTTAATAAAAGGACTCTTTCCAGCTCTCATTTTTGAGTTATAGCCGTAAATATATCCAAACAAAATGTGCAACTTGTGCAAAAGCAAAGAACGGGAAAATAGGAGTGAATAAAAATGCAGTTGAGAATGGCCATGGGCTTGCATAATTGTCTATTGTAAGGAACATATGGTAAAGATATTTTTGATTTGGATGGAATGTGGTAGTTGTAAAATGGCTTAAAGCTTGCCAGGTGTTGCCTACTGTTGAATACACATGCATTTCTACCATTTTCAATGATATAATGAACAATAATAATAATAACATGCAGATAAATTAACTATATTTTGGGTCCATTTTGATGTCGAATCTATCAAAGTGTGAATATTGCGTGTGAAACTTTGGACAATTTTATGAGGGTAAAATGTCTGCTATAGTATTGCCTTATACAAGCACCAATTGTCCAACTCGCATTTTGAATCAGAAATAAATAAACGATACAAATACATGGACAATGACGCGGTCCTTTTTTACAATTACCACACACAGAAATCCTTCGAGGAATAGTTATTGCTATAAAATGCTACGACGGAAGAGCGACTTTGCCGTTCAACTAAAATCTGTGAACATGGGATTCGATGGGAGAACGAACACGCATAAATAATTATACATAAAAACAGTTTTCTTTCAAACACTTTGTCATTTTAAAAAGGGAACCACGTAACTCGTTTCTTTTCCATTTGAGACACAAAGTGAACCACAATGAATGTAGCTCTAGTTAAAGCTGAACCATGTAACTTTTTGAATGAAGATCTGCCACTTTGCCTGTCGCCATAGAGATGTCGCTAGGTTAGCTTAAATGCGTTTTTGCAATGAGACATTAATTTTGTATATCTTTACTAAGTATGCGTTTATCACACTTATGAACATTTCTTTGCTTAAAACCCTAAAAACTCTAATAACTCCATGACAACCAGCAAGTGAGGCAGGACCCTCGTCTAAAAATGCCCCAGGGTGCAACGTTAATATGGTCATTCTTGTCTATGTATTATTTCTGACACCAAAATGTTTTACAAATATTATTGCAAATTATTATCTTGGTCTAATAGCTTTGCGCAACTTGACGGCATCATCCAAGAACCAGGGTTAATTTAGTAACTTTGCAGGTTTTTTTTATTGCTACAGTGAAACTATAGAATGTAATCCAGGCAAAACAAGTAGACAACTTGTTTGCTTAATAGTAAATTGCATGCTTTGATTTGCTATTCAGAACGAGAGAGACTATTTTAATTCCGTCAGTACGATGAAGCTAGCAAAGTCACTGTGTAAGGCTGTGGTATGAGTTTGTGCGCTGTCTCTTTAAATGGGATCCACAAATAGTTTTCGCCTCAATAAAAAGGTCCTCAAAATGGCGGCGGTGCAAAAATACATAAGAATCTGACGGGAACTCAACAGATGAGTTCTTGCTTGATCTCCGGTCGAGTTGGGAACGGAGATTCGCTGAAGGAGAAGGCGGCGCGTCCCGTTTTCAGTTCGCTTTTGCCCGGACAGAGAAGCGCGTAGGTTTCTATGACGGCCATTTCCGGGGAGGGGGCGGGGCTTTCGGGCTCTGACTCTGATTGGCTGGTTTCGGGTTCGTCCAGAGAGGAGCAATGGGAGGAGGAGGAAGATGAGGAGGAGGTGGTGAGGAGGTGAGGGCGGGACACAGGGCAGAGCCAGGGGTGGGTCAGGCACTCCTCTGCTGTGGCACGAACCCTGGAAGAAAAACACAGAAAATTATTGTATTTTATTATTTAATATTCATATATTCAATTTTATATTTACATTATGCTACTGAATTCATTTATTATTTAAATATATTTTTTATTTTATGTTTCCATTTCATTCTATTCTATTTTTTTAGATCATTATTATGCATCATCTAAAAGAAAATGTAGATAAAGAGGAGATTAAAGTGTGAATCTACTTTTCACAAATTTTGATCATGTTTTAGTGTTTTCTTTTGTCATTTAAACACGTTTTTAGTTTTAAAGGAATTCATTAGAGGTGTCAAGTAATGCCAGTATTTCCCCTGGTATTAGTACTTTTAACTTTTAACATTCATTACTTTCTTTCAAACCATAATATCTGTACTTTCTACTCCTACATTACAAAATTACTGGCTACTTTTGCAGAGGGCGACACAACATACATTAAGAGCTTTGGTTAGCCAATGAGTAATTGTGGTTAGCCATGCTTCCAAGTTCCCCATTCGGCATAAGTGCTGCACGTTTCCTTTTCTTGTCGTATTCTCTGTTTAAATGGACGTGAAACCAGCGATAGGACAAAACTGTTTTGAAAGAGAGGAAATAGTTAAATCAATATTTTTTTGTTCATGGAAGTCTGGTATCTCAGCTTTAATATCGTCACTGTTTTGATCATTCTGCAGATAATTATTGCCAATTTCTACAGTAAAACATTTAAAACATCCCCTTTTTAAAAAGTTTGTAAACCAGACATAGATAAAACTAAATCAGTAAAACCTATGTATCAAATGAAATCTTTTTAGTGTCTTTTTATCTTACGTCTTAATTCTAGTTATTAAAGTTACTGCCAGCATGTGTCAAAAGTGCACCCACTCCCACACTGGTTTTGTAGTAGAGCTCTGTTGTGCATATTTGGCAATCGTCCCGCCCCCAAACCCTCTCCCTATTGGCTGAACACACACAACCACTGACCAATGATATTCTGGTCTCACTCTATTTGTGACCAAACAAAACAAGAAGGGAAATTCCCACCGAGTTTACAGAGGCCATTCCCAAAACCGATTTCTCTCCCAAAAGCAATCACGCTCTGCTTTTTCCACATTCTCGAGGCGATTACCAAAATGCCAAAGAATCCAACGCTTTTCCAGGCCACTAATCTGCACCAATTAAAAGAACGGCGACTCCAAATCACGCGTTGGAACGGACTTGAAAAGAGCGGCGTCCTAAAGGGGTTTTTTTTCAATCTAATGGAAAAATTGTGTCGGCAAATTAAAATGTTTTTTGTTGTTGTTGCTGCTGCTGGACCTCATTGAATTTTATATTAAAAACGTGGTTAGGGTCTGTGGGTCTGTGGGTCACTGTGGAATCATCTCAATAGAAAAATACATTGGTCACATATGCAGAACTATTGTGAGTGTGTGTGGCTACACTGCAAAAAGTATTGATAAATAAATCAAAAATAGGTCAAATTTAACAAACTGTATCTTACTTTGAGCACATTCTGACTGCCTTCAAACAATATGTACCAAAGGGACAAAGCAAAATTATCTTATTTTACTAAAGAAACAAGACATTTCTCCCTTGGAATGAGTAAATAAAGCAGCAGTTCTTAAAATAAGGATACATGGATTTGTCCAATATTGGAAAGTATTGTATTTTGTCTGAATACGCCTTGAATTAAGATTAAAACCACTTTTAAGCATTTATTACCTCATATTTTATCTTTTTTTTTTAAACTAAATTTTACAGTGAATGTGTTCTAGTTCAGGGGTACTCAAAAGGCTGGTTGAATCCGGTATTGAATCAACTCTTTTCAAAATGCAACCTTTTTAATATCTTTTTCATTTAATGTCTATATTTTAGTTGTTTAAGTTACTACCAGCATGAGTCAAAAGTCAGATTTTAGTTAAACAATGTACTACTTATCAGAAAATTTGCCACAACATGCTGTCTTCAACTTTAAAAAAAAAAAAAAAAAAAAAGGCATATTTTGCAAATAAGAAAGAGCCTGGAGAGTCACTATTTGACGCTTTTGGTCTTTTTTGATTTAAAAAAAGAGGACCACCATAACTCTGCCACTTTTCTGTCGGAAAATATCTGATGCTAAGTTGTGACAGAGGCTAGCAAAAACTAGTGACAGAACCAAACTGTTTTAAAGCCAGAAACCAGTTAGATGGATTGTATTACATAGTTTGTTTTTTTATGGCTTGAAAATTAAGTAACACAACTTTTAAGCAATGAGGTAAGCTTTGGTTTTTAGTCTGTTGGGGAAAAACTCTTGAAATGAGAAAGACGTACTGACGTTTCTTAATTTATTGGGGGAAAAAAACGTTTGTATTGAAAATAATCAGATTTTTCTCCAGGTTCATGATTTAAACGTAACAACGAAAATACAAAAGAATTCTCAGTGCAAGTCATTTCACATAATGCCAAATCATCTAGAATTTCATTTTTTTTGTACCGCGTCTGCATGACTCATCTTTTGCCTTTGATATCCGCTATCTGGATTAAAGGGAAGTCTGTATTGACTCATATGACAAGCATCGGTTTCCACTTGACTCTTTGTCTCATGAAAAATCACACTTTTGACGCAATCCTGTTGGTTTGTTCATACCTGGGGTTTTTGACCAGTAGCGTTTTGATGAAGTCCACGGCGAGCGGTGAGATGCCTTCGAACGTCTCCTCTGAATAATCCACGCTGATTTGGGAAATGTTGAGGAAGGTCTCTTGTTTGTTGTCGCCCAGAAACGGAGAATCTCCCGTCAGCATGAAGTAGACGAGGACGCCGATACTCCTGGAACAACAACATAGGATTATCTTAGATTGGAACGTTTTTCTGAGATTTTAGCAGATGTCAAATACTTGTCTTGATTTACACTGTATGGACAATGCAAACTAGCACTCTGAAAAGCTAAAGGAGAAATGCTCAAAGACAAAGTGTAGATCTATGCTCGTTGGTTCCCACTCACTTAATATGTGGTTAGCAACAACTTGGCAACCAAAGAGCCAATCAGAAGGAGCACTGAAGCTTACACACTTTTGATCAGTGGTTGAACTCTATCAGGGTTAGGGTTTTTTGGGGGGCCAGCGGGGTTATGTTTAGGATTTGGACCGTTCTGGGTTTTAAGATGGGGTCTGATGTGTTCATATCGATTCACACCACAACTACGTTAGTGCCAAATGTGGAATTTTGAGACACAATAAAAAATATATAGGTCTCCACTATCTCCACTATATATATAGGTTAAGTTGGCTGGATGACACATACAATGACACTATGGGCTGCGTTTGCATTTTGATGATGTATTTGTAAATCCAGAAAATGAGCTTTAACAACTGTCCAATCATGTGTCTTTTGTCCCAGAATCGGGCTTTGGCTAGCGGGGAGACGGAGCAGGGGACGGGGCAGCATCCCCTTTGATTGGCTCTTTGATTGCCCATATATCGACTTTCTGCTGTTGTCTTTTGTCTATAACTAGTTTAATTCCCCTTTAAATAGTATTTTCGACAATATTTCGGTGGCTAACCTAGTGTATTCTTGTTGGCGGTCAAATAACTTTCAACCTAATTTTTTCTCCTTTAACCCAGAAATAGACATGGTTAAGCGTGATTTAATACTTTTTTTTACCCATAACATTATTTTTGATTTGGTACCAGTGTAGTTTATCTCTGATCTTAAGCTTTAGAGAAACCGTTTCTCCTTATATGACATGCCGGAAAAGTCCAGTTTGGCCTCACTCACCACATGTCGGTCGCCGTGCTGATGGGTTCATAGTTGAGGATCTCTGGCGCTGCAATGAAACCACATGGCCCCAATTAAAACATTAAAAATCCAAAACGTTTAAGCCTTGAGAAGACGCAGGTGCAAAGAGACGCTCACCTACGTACTCCGGCGTCCCCAAGATCTCCCTGACCTCCGTGATGCTGTCCATGCGTCTAGACAGACCGAAGTCCACGATCCGGATGTCTCCCAGAGGCCTGGCGCTCGTCAAGAGGATGTTCTGTGGCTGTGGGACAAAAAGCACAAAGAAAATAAGCTGAGTTATGAAATATGAATGTCGAGGTAAAGCCAGGGTGTGAGGGTGTGGCGATCTTTTTTTTTTGTGTTACTTTATGGCGTTGTCACACTTAGTTCACACTTTTTCATGCTACGTAACGCATAGCAAGACAGAATTATTATTATTGATTACTACTATTATCCTCCGCTTGTGCCAAAAACATAAAAAAATGGCGAGAATATTTTGTCACCACGTTTTATCATAATATGACTCTCTATTGGGGCAAAACAAAATAATTAATTAATAATGAAAAAAAGAAAAAGAAAACACAGGTTAAAAAAAGTACCCAACATTTAAATGAGTGGTAACATATTGGGTGGCAGCTCTTATTGCCACCCCCCCAACCCAGAAATGGACTTATAAAGGGGTTGAAAATGAATGAATGAATGAATGAACATACAGTATTTTCTGACCTATATCTCGAACCGGTCAGACTGACACCAAAAACACTTTCAAGCAGAATTCAGAATACAATGGTGGAATGTGACCTAGTTTACGGTTCTTATCTCTGCAATGACCGCCACTGTCCACATCAAACAGGACAAATTAGATTAGTGAATAATAATAAAGCAGCAGCCCCTTGTTAGTTTTCAATATTTTTAGTCGCAAAATGGATTATGAAAGTTTATGGATCTAACGTCTGACAAATCATACGACAATGCAGTCATTTTGCATGTTGAATTTAAGGTGGATCAAAAACACTGACTTTGCCCATTGAGATACAAAGACAGACGACTATTTACATATGCGATTTAAAAGTAAGGCCAGTGCTAAATAGGTACAGCCATTTCCTTTTTTTCCGTATAAATTGCAGGTTAAAATGTATATGAATAGTTACTTTAATAATAACTTCCATTGGTGAATTCATTACTGTTTGAATATAAATTTTACAAAAGACTGCAGGTACTTGTCTAAAGCCTCAAAAGTCACATAAACCTCGACGTGGCGAAATTCCAGGAAAATTCCCGGGAAATATGTTTATGTGAATGGGGCTGTCAAATATTTTTTCTTGACAATTAAAAACTGCCATGCAAATAAGACCATATTTTGCCCCTTTTTCCTTTGTGGTTGCTGTGGATACATAACTCTAACTATTTACGTCATAACTGCTGTCCAACCAGGAAGTAACAATATCAACACAATTATAAAACTGAGGAACTCCGGGCAATATATTGACTGAAATTTAAAAAGGAAATTTCTCGCTGCAGAAACAGATGTAGAAGTACAACACTGACTCAAAATTTGGCATTAGAACAAAATCTCCCAATGGAAAAAGTATATTGTTTTAAAAAGATGCCAATGTCTCCCTTGGAATAAGAAGATAAAGCAACAATTCGTTAAGAAAGACAACATTTTCCCCCTTTGGCAAATCTTGTTTTGGCAGTTTTGGCAGCGCTGAATCTTGACGTCTCTGTTCATTGTTTACAAGTGGGAATGAATGGTAGTAGGTTTGTGTTTAATAGTCTTATGAAGTTGGTGCCATGTGCCAGACGCTGAGCCCGGATCACTCTCTAAGCCTGGTCAGACCGAGGCCAAGGACGCCGCTACTCTGAGCCACCGGGGCAGCTGGAGACCGTCTACCAGACTGAAGACCAGTGAGGAAGACCAGCTTAGATTCATACAACCATACATCGATTGTATGAATTTCTAAAGTGCTTTTTCTAGATAAATAGACGCATTTATCTAGCATGTATAGCTAAATACAACAGTATCATTGTCGTTACTCATTATATTATAAAAGAAATCATTGCCAATAACAGGAAAACATGTTTGGCACTTACCATTTTTGATAAACAAAATATTTAGTTAGTAATATATAGACTTTTTTTTTTTGAGCTGGTTTGGAGCCAGGATCTGATGACATAATTACATTTTCATTGTTGTTTGAAAGTTGGGTACCTCTTAACATAAAAAAAAATTGCAATGATATTGCAAAAACTTGCAATATGTATTTGTTAAGATTACATTAAGACAACTGTTTCTGTACTCTCTAAGTTAATGCCAATCAAAAATAAATCTATCACATTTCCTCCCAATAATAATAATAAGTCAAGTAAATATTCAAATTTTCACATCTCTAGTCTGCGTTTAATCCTTTTTCGAGGGGAACGAGACCAAAAGTGCGAGGAAAGATAAACACAGACCGCCTCACAGTTCAGGGCCCCGGGTCACTGCGGTCTTCAGAACCACAAGAGACGCATACAATTTACTCAGAGAAAACACCGGTCTGAAGTCTGAGCGGAAACAGCAACACAATTTACACTTGCTAATAGCGTTTTATTATCCCTGCGAGAGGAGATGGCGACCCTCCAGGACCTCGTGACCCGTCAAATATTCACGGCAGAAACAGGACGACTTTCCCATTCTGTCATTCAGACTTTGAGGAAGTCTTTAGCTGCATATTTATGTCTCCATTATCAATGTTTATAAAGTATTTATAAAGTTCTTTGGAGTAATAAGGAGTTGGTTTCCAGGTATTATGACGAGGGATGCTCCAAACAGCAGAATGAAGTAATATTTAGTCCTCTCAAACCTTCTACATAAAAGAATAATGTCAAAAAGCAAAAATCTTTCGACTTTTGCAAAGAACATGTACATCCTTGTTGAAAAATAGGTTATTATATATTTGTATGTATAGCCATTTTCAACACTTTTAAACACATTTACTTTGTAGTCACAGCAAGAATTGTTTGCCACTGGGGTTGAATTATTATTATTTTTTCCCCAGATGTATGCAGCTACAATCTGAAACAGTCTTCCTCAAAATGTGAGACAGGCTTCTACTCTGACAATGTTCAAATCCAGGTTAAAAACATATCTGTCTAGCTGTGCGTACGACTGAAGGATAAAAACTTCGCTCTTTTCAAATATTGTATAAGATTTGAATGCCTTGAATTATTGTCTCCATCTTGTTTTGTTCGAGTTGCCTTGTGTATGAACTGTGCCATATAAATAAACCTGCCTTGCCTTCCAACAGTGTCAATAGTTTGTTGAGGCTACATTGACTTTACAGCATCACACGAGAAAGTTAATGTAGCCTCTCGTTTCTTGCTACTCAAAAACAGTGATTTTTAGCAGGACATGTGTAGAGAATGTTGCGCACTTGTTGCTTAAGGCCGGTTCTCTCCCGATTTCGATCTCATTTCCTCATTACGAAGGCTGTTACGTGGGAAAAGCGGCCCATTACCTCACGCATCGGTCACATAAGACATAATAAAGTTTCTCTGTGATTGGCTCATGGTCTATAATAAGCAAACACAGGGGCCCTTTAATGTGCGTTGTGGCGGATGGTTCCAGATGGGGCCGGATTATGACATCGTTCATTTATGTAGTGCTTGTGTAACAGTGAAAATATGTTTTCCCCTGAACCGGAGTCTCAGGGGAGCAGACCTATTGTGCGCCGGTGTAATTGAGAGCACTTACGAAGAGAGGTGGAGATCCGGGACTAATAATATCCATATGAACAATAAGTAAGGCAAAGTAATTATATATGAGAAAGTTACATAACAGTTTAGGGCTGAGTGATTTTGGCAAAACTAATTATATGCGTTTTTGCTGTATTTATTTCAAAAATGCACAAGATAAACAAACAATTAGTCATCATTTTACTTTAATTTTATATTTTTTCTGATCAACATTGTGCCCTATGCTTTTTTTGTGTGCTAAATATTTGTGGATTGGTCGAAGGTCGGTTTCTATTTTAGTTTTGGAAAATGAATGAAAAAAACACTGTTGGGCAAAAAAAAACAATTAGTCACTGGAAAATATAATAAAATAATAAATACAAAAATATACCTGAACATGGTTTGAATAAAGATTGGATGAAGCTAATCAGAGAAGAAGGAGCCTCATCCACAGAAACAACAAAAGAAGCTGTCATAGATGTTAAAGGGGAAGTACATTGGGGGATGGAGACTTCTGATCAGGGTTCAGGAGAGTGTTTCTGTACAATGTAGTTCATGGGTTCCACTTTTCACAATCGGCCATCTTGGTAGTACTTCTGCAGACACTCACCTTCAGATCTAAATGCACCACGTTGTTTCTGTGCAGGAAAGCCACGCCGTTCAGGATCTGCTTCACGAGTCGGATCACGTCCTCCTCCGTGAACGCCTCGTCGCTGTCGCCAACGCACTGGTTGAAGATTTCTCCACCGGCGGCACTGCAGAGGGAACAAACGCAAACTTTAAGCAACTTTGTAATTGTCCTTGTTTGGTAGAATGACACAAGTTTCAAACAGAGACAATAGATAAGTATTAGTCCCCAAAGCGTGACATCATGAAAACTAGATGTCAGCTCTAAGGCACCTTCTTCCTGGTCCCGCCTCAAGCTTTAAAAGTTTTTAAAAATGGCTTCTGGCTTGATCCAAATGCTTTTCAAAGACGCATAGATCAAAGGTTCACGCGAGAAGGAAGGACCAGGAGGATAAGGAAGGAGATATGTTTGCTGAATTTGAACGTAGGGTCAGAAATACTTGATCCACATCGCCACAATTTACTTTTTATGTGACTTAAATGTATAAAAATCCCTAAATAAAAATTGTGTATTCATAAGGTTTCATAAAAGCTCATACAATTAGTGTGCATGTGTTTTGGTCCAATAAAATCTATATATATATATTCATTGCACAATCCTCCAAAACTTGCTTATTGTCACAATGTATCAAATGTATGGTCTCTATTTAATATATATAGACATCAACTTCAATTCAATTAATTTTCAGCTCTTATTCCCAATCATAGGAAGTATTGTAAAGGAAGTTCTTAAAATGTCCTTAAATGTCCCAAATTGTCACCGTTTTTTATATCCTCCTTTTCCGGCAAAGAACAACTCGGTATAAATTTAAAAACAATTGAAAATGGTGAGAAACTTAGGAACGCCCACATTGACTGAGGTAACCGCTTCCAGTATCGGATCCTCCAAACTGGGACCAAAAAAACTAGACTAAACCAGTCTACATCAGGCCCAAACCGGGTACAACAACGTCCGACCCATTGTTTAACTGGAAATGCTTTCGGCGCATTTCAAATATTGCAATTTAGCGAATGTCCAATCAAAACAAAACAAGTGTTTGAGAAGGCAGACCCGCCCTTCCTTTGTGCACGCAGAACATTCCAGACCATTAATCGCACACATCAAATAAATACCGCTTTTAAAAATATGCAACATGTCACCTCCCAAAACAGAAAATCAGGAGGTAGGGCAAAACAAAAGTGTGCGGGACAATTATATGAAATGTAAGGTAAAAGTGGCATTTTTATATCGAGGTGACAGACCGAGACTGAGGAGCGTTTGGTCTTTTATTTTTTTCTATCTTTTTCTTTTACGACACTGGCTGTAGATTCCGTTGACAAACTATCTGTATCTGTGAACTCAAGATATCCCAGGTCCTTTTTATTTATTTATTTTATGTACACGTAAGCAGTGTCACGCAGACATTTTGGCACCAATGATCATTAGATAAACTATAGTTATCTGCTGCTATGACTTTATTACGGACAGATTACCAATGCAAAGTTCAATACTAAAGTGGGAACACACATAGATGGTTTAATAATATTGGTGGATCAATGTTTTGGATCAATGTTGAGAGTAAAAACGCTGATATAAGAAGTTTAGAAAATAGCGTCAAAATATCAATCAATCAATCAAAGTTTATTTGTAGAGCGCCTTTCATGCACAGGGCAACACAAAGCGCTTCACAGTCCACATCACAAATCATCACATAAAACAAACACCAGAATCACAATTAAAACATTAAAATCACACAAAAGATTAAAACACAATAAAAACAAAATCACACAAAAGAATAAAACCATTAACACTTTCAAAGTTACACAAGAAATTTAAAAAAATAAATAAATAAATGACAGCAGTGCATTACAAATGGAGATAAAATCCTTCAGTTGTATGCACAGGCAAACAGAACAGTCTTTAACCTGGATTTGAACATTGACAGAGTAGACGCCTCCCTCACATTTTCAGGGAGATTGTTCCAGATCTTAGCTGCATAGATCTGAAACGCAGCCTCCCCATGTTTGGTTCTCACTCTGGGCACCAGCAGGAGGCCAGTCCCTGTGCTCCTCAGAGTCCGGGCTGGTTCATATGACACCAACATGTCACTAATGTATTCTGGTGCAAGGCCATGGAGAGACTTGTACACAAGCAGAGCTGTTTTAAAATCTATTCTTTGAGCCACAGGAAGCCAGTGCAGAGACCTGAGGACCGGACTAATATGGTCATACTTCCTGGTTCCTGTCAGGACTCTAGCTGCTGCATTTTGGATGTACTGCAGCTGCTTACAGGTCTGTTTGGACAGACCTGTAAGCAGGCCATTGCAGTAGTCTAGCCTGCTGGAGACAAATGCGTGGACAAGAATCTCCAAGTCTGCCCTGGACACTATATTTCTGACTTTGGCAATGTTCTTCAGATGGTAAAAAGCTGTTGATGTTATTGATTTTATGTGGCTATTGAAATTTAGGTCTGCTGAGTCCAGTATTACCCCCAAATTTCTGACCTTGTCTGAAGGAAGTAGGGAGAGAGACTGAAGTTGACAGATGACGCCCTCTCTTTGTTTCTGGGGACCAAAGACAATGATTTCGGTTTTGTCTGCATTTAGCTGGAGGAAATTATTTTGCATCCACTCACTGATCTGTTGGATACAGTGAAGGAGCAAATCCAGTGGTCCATGTTCTCCTGCAGTCAGTGAGACATAGATCTGAGTGTCGTCGGCGTAATTGTGGTAGGACACTTTGTTTCTTTGTATTAACTGACCTAACGGCAGCATGTAGAGATTAAATAGGAGAGGTCCCAGGACCTCAGGAAATATGTGTTTCAGATTTTATATCAGACCGAACCACAATAAACTCATTTTGGTCAGGGGCAGATTAATAAAAATAGGAACTGGATGGTTGATAACAAAATGTGTTTATTGTTTAGATTTAAGTTCAACACATTGTTTTATATTTAACCATAATTAAATGTTGTGAGAAAATAGATGTATAACCTGCCTTGGTAGCTGCTTGTTAATAATAATAATAATTTTACACGCTTGTACCACACAGCACTCCTTACCCTTTAGTTTTTTAAATAATAATAATAATAATAATAATATCAATAATAATAATAATTTTAGGGGCCACTAAATATATTTGACATGGCTGCTCTAATGGTTCTGATAGCGGCTTTTTAATAGTTTTGTTTATTTTTATTCAGCCCATGAACAAAAGTTTCCTTCTTTAAAACCTGGCCACAATCCTACTTTGTTTTTTTATTTTACAACACCTCCTGCCCTCATTAGGCACACCACAGCTCTAAGCACTAAACTCTACGTAAGTGATGTTTGAGTTGTGTCCGTCCCAGATGCGAGCGAGCTCTGATTTACTGCAGGTTAAACTCACTGCAGTCATTCCCACCATCAATCTGCGTCTGAGAACTTCCTACCACAAGGAAGAGGAAGAGCAAATGACACCCGTTTTGTTTGGAAGCTAATAATAGGGCAAAAGGGCGAAGGGATTCTCATGTTGGAAGGAAGTGTGCGACAAGGGCGGGTTTGTTTTGCTATGAGATCTACTCAAGTAAGTCGTTTAGATACAAAATATATTAAAAATGATGACTATATATATATATAAAAAAAGGGTGGCAGGTTGGCTGAGTGGTAAACGTCTTCTGTTCGAATCCCAGAACAGGCCTTTACATGATGAGGGGAGTTTGCATGATCTCCCTGTGTCTGCATAAGTTTCCTCCAGGTGCTCCGTTTTCCCTTACCACTAAAAAAACATGTACAATAACTCCCCTGAAGAAGAAGAAGATTCTCAGTGGGACTTCCCAGGTTGTATAAAAGGTAAATAAATACATCTCCAAGTAGAGATCTGTGTCGGCGTAGGTTTGCTCCGGGTGCTCCAGTTTCACCTATCATTAAAACATGTACAATAGGGAAAATGCTCCAGCTCTGGTCCTGACTGAGAGCATAAACATGTGGAGATGGGTCCTAAAGGCTACTATGGAGACCACTGCTCCTGACAGAGGCCCTCGAGCACGGGTCACCAACCTATAGCCTGGGAGCTGCCAGTGGCTATATTAATAATCTAAAAATCATGATTCAAAAGCACACAACTATTGTAAATGCAAACAAAAGCTGTAATGAATTATATAGAATGGCAATTATTAGTAACACGACCCAATCTAAGGCTATAGCTCTCATAAATACAAATGTTTTTGATCAAATGATTAAGAAGTAGCTCGCTGTCATTTTGGTCCTGAGAAAGTAGCTCTCTGGGTGAAAAAGGCTAGAGCCCCCTTGAAGGATGGGTCAAATGCAGAAGAAAAAATTCCCAACAAAGAAATCAAAATAGTTAAAACCAACTTTTACTCGACCAATCAATCACCCACGAATGTCTTTGGGCGACTACAGCCTTAGAGAAAAATCCATATATCTACATTATCATTCTAAAAACCTAACCACGCCCAAGATATGAACTTTTTCTGTGCCCTTATGATGCACTGACACACAAATTAAACTCACATTTAATCTCTAACCTGAATACAGCTGCAGTTGTGTAACCGCGTGGCTTGGGAGATGCCGCCCCGAGGCCTTATAGCTCCCCCAGAACCAGAGCCATGTGTGGGGGATTGAGATGGGACATGTTTGGGAGCGCGGCAAACCGTCTGACCTGGCCACGATCAGCGCTCTTACATAACCCATCGACTTTCACCGTCTTCAGCTGTATACGACTGCGTTTGTCACGGAGGAAATCCATCAGGAGTCCAAAATAATCGCACTTTTTGTACTTTTGCTCGCAGCGCAAAATAGTTGACCTCCCTCCCACCTCCAACGCTGAGAAAGGCCGCAAGGAGAGACTACATTTGAGCGGTGTCGTAGGATTGAGGCTTAAAATGCAATATTCACTGTATTTTTGTCATTTGGCTGGATGTGAAATTGGCCAAAGAGGAATGGAAATATTTCTCAAAGCTTTAAATAAGTGATCATTTATAGTTGGTGCCTATAGTGGTGCATAAATATTTACCACAAAATACAATAGCTTCTCTGGACTTCTCTGAATTCTAACAGATTGTAGACAGTATAACTTAAAAATAAAACAAACAGATGTTGAATAGAAGTGTTGGCGCGTTAGAGAAGGATGTTTTGTCAGCGTTGTAAAT